CTTCCATACACAGAGAGATTGTCAACACTGAAACTAACAACTTTAAAGGAGAGAAATTATAGAGGAGACTTCAATCAAAACATACTAAATAACCAGTAACTACTATAATTACAATATCAAATAAATCTTTTTACAAAACCAAAACTATCTTCGTGGGCACTCTAAGAAACTCGAAAAAGAAGAAACCGCATAACTGCCTATAGGGGAAAGTTTCTGAGCAACAGAGTTGTTTATTCGTTTCCCATTTTGGTGCGACAAGTACCAAGTAAAGTAGCCGTATGAACGTCGCGAAAAACAACGTCGGCCCGACGTCTTTATTGCTACTTGGGTTCGAATCCGCGATTATTTTTATAAACATATTTCCGGTATGAGAAGTTGGGAAAGGCTCGAAGCTTTAGTTTATTTTTAGATTTCATCCACAATTAGATGGCAGTATAGTGTGAGAATCAAAATACGAGATGATATAAAACAGATTTATTTGAAGATGGTTATATTTCGATGCGCCATAATGCAGGCCGAAAGTTGATCTATCCAGAAAATTAAATAAAAATGAAAGTTTTGTATTTCGAACTAAACAAACGGCGAAGGCGAAAACTTCTCATTTTGAAACTTACACAACGTACCTACTTACTTGAAACTGTTTCTTTTTAAATTCAAATATCTATTCGGAAAATTCAATTGGGTAGAGTTGCAGTTGCATTCAGTTGCAGTTTCATTCAATTATGGTAAATGGTTTGAAAATACCTTCGAAAAATCTACTTAATTTTGAATAAGAAAATTGTTTGCAGAGGAAAACATTCAATTTATCCGTCCAGAACAAAATATAATGACTTCATTCATATTGAAAGAAATCTACATAATAGTTTGAAACACACACAGAGAATGTTAAAAATCAATGATAAACAAAGCAACAAAATTTTTAAAGAGCATTTCACACCAGAAAGAGCAAGATGTTAAACTTACATCTTTAGCACGGCCTATGTACCAAAAAGAATGAAGAATCCAAAAAGAAGACCCAACTATACTATAACATATACGTTGTAACAAGTGTAACAAGGTCATTAAGATTTCTTGACCTGTATTATTGCCTTTTTTTTTTAAGAGCCTTGACCATTGAAACAGTCAACTGGGTTTGCTGTTACATTGATTTATAAATTATAATTAAATTTATCATTAGATCTCAATTATTGTGTATAGGTAAGTAGGTACTCACTTAGTTCAAATGGATGGAAATTAGTAAAATGAACTTGCCTTTTTCAAAAGAGCTAAATAATCCTGACTCTCGATCGCTTTTCAAAAAATCATACCATGATTAATGTTAGAGGTAATTATCTTATTACTAAAGTAGGAGCTACTCTATATGCTTTCGATTTTCCTGAGGGAAGCTGTGCTGGAGGGGTTTAACAAATATTGTTCCCTTCATCAATCTTCTTCAAGGGTACCTAGAAAACACGTTATTTACCCGATTAGGTAAAAAAAAATACCTAAGTATTTTTAACCAAATGTCACTTTACACAAAATATTCTATAAAATGAATTCTATTTAACAACAATATTAGCAACATAGTTACTTTTCATGTGATAACTAATATTAGATAAATGTTCTATGATCACACATGTATTTATTTTTACAATACTTGATATACGACTAGGAAATACAATGTCGGTCTTATTTTTTGCGTTAAACCGATTTAATAATTACAACATTTCAACCAGTTTTAGCATATTTTATCCGGAAAATGACCATCATCGAAATTGAATCGGCAGCTTTGATACATTTGGAACTAAACTGGTCAATTTAACTTTTGGTAATGAGCGACATGGTATAATTATAGGATTAATTGCAATTATTGTACTTGGATGGAAGTGTTGCCGACGCAAAAAGTAAAGGATTTTTATCTGAAAAAATATAAGTCAATAGATACTTAACATATGAATAAGTGGAGTAGGTAGGCTATAATTAATTTTATGTCCGATTGACCAATAAAGTGCTATTTATAGAACAGTTTTGCGTCAATAAAGTAGCACTTTATTGTACTAGTAAAATAAAGTGCTACTTTATTTTACTAGTAAAATAAAGTGCTACTTTATTGCCTACCTGGACTGCCTGACAAGGTGAAACAGGTCCTGACAACCTGCCAAGGTGAAACAGGTATACCTATGCGAATTTCACTTTTTTCATTAAATTTTTTCAATTTTCAACAAAAACCAGTCGTAATCGTACATAAAATCATGTATATAACGCTTACATAAACAGGCTTTATTGACTCATTATTTAATAGCCTCGCTCGCAAGCTCGCTCGGCCATAAAATTATTCGTACAATAAAGCCTTACTTTATGTACTTGTTATATAAATAGCTATTTGTATCCAAAATGTATTTATTTGTTTATTTACTGCTTAAAGTGCACACTACAGAAAAATACTAAATGGTACACTGAAAATGTAACAAATTGAACAATTACAATAGTTACAGTACCTAGTAATAGAATACAAATATAAAATACAAAATATAAACACAAATACAAAATATAAAAAGAGAAAAGAAAAAAAAAACAATGGTACATATTGGACTTATGTCAAATGTGCTAAATTTATGGTATTTTGTAGATGTCATCAAAAGTTATCATTGCGCTATATTCGAAAAATTGACAGTTTGTGAGAAAATCTTCATAAACCAGTTAGCGGTGTTGCGGAACGCGATGTTCAGGTGAGTCGGTAGAGTCTCTGATTGCGCTGAGGCGAGTTCAGGAATGACACACTCAGTGTGAGTGTGACACATGTGCGAATAAAATCGCACTCACACCCTGTGCGATATTTCTGAACTCGCGCCTGCATGTAATTGCCGTAATGGCATGTAATATTGACAGTTGAGTTGAAGAGGGCGTTTCTGTACTTGGAGCTATTTAAATTTTGGCGCGTAAATGATTGATTGTAATTTTAACCTCAAAAGATAATTCTGACATGTGGTTTCAAGACAAGCTGACGCTGACATTTTTAAAAATATTCTCTAAGGCCCACTGAATGCTTTGGAAGATAATTTGACTTATTCATTGTCCATTGTTCATATTGTAGTCATCTTTCCTTCTACTTAATTTAAATGGTTTAAAACTATTGACATTTACCGCCAAAATTTGAAGCACTCCAAGTTCACTCGCGCCCTCTACAAAATTTTGAGGAACTTAATTGGATATTTGCTGCCATTGTCGTGTAATTCGATTCGTAGTTTGGAGAACTTTTTTTGCTCCATTATTTACACAACTATGTACCATCGTCATTAAAGGTAACTGGGACAGCATCATATTAGCTCTTGTACTATTATATGAATTTTATCGTCAAATATTTGTCAAACTATGAATTAAATGCATTGAAATGAATGACGGTACAATTAGTCCAGGAGATTATTATGCATTATTTTTGTCCCAGATACTTTTGGTGACGATGGTACATGATTAAACTAAGTATTTTCCTATTTATTTTAGGTTGAACATATTGGTACGCATCAGGCACCATGGGTATTTCCATACAAAACCGCTAAGCGCAGATGTTGCGGCAATGTGAATTATCTTGTGTTTTAGTCCTGATAGGGGTAAAAGTTAAAGTTTCCTTACTGTGTTTACGTGTTACTTGTATTTATCTTGGATGTAGTATAGAACAAATTAAAAGGTATGATGTGATTAAACCAAATGCCAAATGATAAAAGTACAAGTATATCCTATTCACAATCCGTAGTCCAAAGGTACAGGTAAATTTATCTCCTATCAAATAGCATTGATAGATGATAAATTTTACCTGTACCTTTGGACATCGGTTTGAGAATAGATTACTGTCTTGTAGGAAAATGGAAGGAAATTATTGCTCGTGTCCCCTCTTCTGCACCACGTATAGCAATGTGCAGCCTCATTAGTTAGGGTTGAGTGGGGCGACATGCGTACGATGATGTTTAGCCAATAATAGTTGTATGTAAATAATGGAGCAAAAAAGTCCTCCAAACTATGGATTGCACTGAAAGTGTCATTCCTGAACTCGTCCTAGTGCAATCAAGAGACTCTACCGACTCACCTGAATATCGCGTTCCGAAACACCGCTAACCGCTCTATGAATGATACACATTTCTTTAAAATGGATTTTCTCAAAAAACTGTCCATTTTATTTAGCGCACCGATAACTTTTGATAAAGACCATGACTTCTACAAAATATCGAATAAAATTCAGCACATTTGACATAAATCCAATTTCCATAAGTTTTGTGAGGGGTCCTTTGCGAATGATCAGCAATGTTTGTGAACAAATTTATTTGATTGGTGGAGACGGAATTTAGATTGTTTGCAACCATGTGGGAGACTCTTTCTTTTAAATACACTTTATTATAGAAACAGTTGTTCATCGTTATGAAACCCCCCCCCCCCCCCCAAATAAAAAACCTGGGTGCGCCACTGCATTCAGTGCTTGGAAATCGGCTCGTCTAAACTGAAAAACTGCCAATTTTTCATCAGATTTAAGCGTAGAAGTAGATTGGATTTTGAATGTCAGTTCCAGTTGAGGGTGTACATATCTACCACATTTGTGAGCGGAAAGTCACTTTTAGAGACATTAGCATTGTCCAGTGAGTCAGCAAATATCAGGTCAAGTTGCCTGTTATATATGAGAGTTCCTTACACTGTTAAGCTGGTCAAGTTCTAAGAGGCTCATTCCATCGACAAGAGCCGTTTCGTTATCACTGTGGGTCAACTCCGGTACTAAGTAGTCCTCATCTTGAATCCATTTAAGATGTGACAGGTTGAAGTCTCCAAAAATTATGAAGGAATCACTGGCGTGTCTCTGTTTAAGTGATTCACAAGTATCACAGAGGCACTTGTAATGTTCTGATGGCCAGTTCGAGTAATACAGACGGCCCCTATAATTAAGTCCTTGGTTTTATGCTTGCAGTGTACCCATAGCTGTTCAAATGATGTTGTTTGCGCTATCGGAGTTACTGTACTTTGTATGTGCTTTTTTACAGCTATGAGTACGGCTCCTCCTCTTGCAGGTTGCATAGTCTAAAGACCATGTACTCAGAAGAGGATAGTTCTGCATCTGAGAAGCCTTCGTTTAGCCAGGTTTCAGTGATGACTATTATATCCAAGTTTGAAGCTACTGAGTTTGTCGAAAGTTGGTGGTTTTTAGATCTTAGACCACCTGCATTCTGGTAGTAACAGCTGACAGTTTCGTCAATGTTGCGCAAGTTGGAGGTTGGGCGGTGTATGTGGCAGTTATTGCTGGATTGTGCGGCGAAAAATTCTTGGGCCTCGTGCTGAGAATTCCCGAGCTGAGGTGAATCTAGTATTTGGACGAAGGGATCGAAATCTTGTAACTTCCACATCACCAACAGGGCATTTGTTGGGATCCAGTAGAGAAGTTTCCATATCTTTATTTACTTCGACTTTGAAGCCTTTTTAGTCCCCTGACTTTGTATTGATTTCCTCCAGAGTGTATTCTCGATCATTTGCAAAAGTATTTTGTAGGTATAGCTGCAAATTTTCTTTGGTGACATTGGAGAGCTTGCGAACAAATATGGAAGATTTGGGAGAGATTTTGAGATTTTCTATGGCGTCCTAGTTCCAGTGATCGCTGAACGCCCTTGTTTTCTCTGATGTTGTCTGGCTACTGTTTCTTCTGGGCGTCCCATGCAGTTGGCTTGCTTGTGGAAGGGGTTAGAAGTTGAGGGGCTTTGTTCCTGATTGTGGCTCGTAGAGTTTGGATTCGTCACGTTTGTGGTCAGAGATCTTATTTGTTTCTCAAGTGAGAAGAATCTGTCCTCAAATGTGTCCAATATTTTCTTGTGTAGATCTTTAAACACAGCTGATTCAGAGTGGTGTAGGTCTTGAATAGAACTGTGGTGACTAGCGTTCTTCAAGTTGTAAATTTCGTGTTTTAGCTCTTTGTTTTCCGCAGCATATTGTTCACACTCCACAGATAAAGCTGAGACTGTTGTCGTCATCTGAGTGATAGTTAGATTCAGGTCAGCAATACTAGTATAGTGCATGTCTCTGCTTGAGATTTGAGTGCCTCAATCTTCTCTGCATTGGCTTTTAGCTGCGCAATATAGCTATCACATTTTTTCTGTAGGCGTACTAGTTGTTTCCGCTTCGTCTTAAGTTGTGATTCAAGTTTGTCTGTGGCTGGATATTGGACAAATATTCCTTCGGAAAGATTGGATTATTTCTTTATCCTGATTGATGACTTACTGAAAACCTATACTTTTTACGATGTAGGTAACAATAAAATTAATCAACCTACACGCGATGGAAAAAAATTGAAAATTAAAGCAAATTAGTTTACATTGGAAGAATCATTAGAGCAAAGTACATAATAAATTCCGACTTACTGAAAGAATAAAACCCAATCAAACCCAAATTTTAGCTTGTTAGAAGCAACATAATATTTCAAACATTTATAATTTTTTAATTATACACCAATTACTGATGGGTAGGGCTAATATCGACATATTTACCTATAAAAATATGTTTATTTTCTACTTTACTATTATAGATCCATAATACCTAGGAAACGAAATACGTTAACACACCTATAACAACCTGATCCATAACGCCCGCTTTTGCGGGCGTTATGATCTATAACGCCCGCTTATAATACCTTAAGGTGTTTTTGATTTTGTTGTTCTATTAATTTGCACTTTACCCTAGGCAGCCACTAAATGTCTGACCGAAAATAATTTTCGGTCTAGCCAGGATTCGAACCCGGTCTACCATCAACGTTTCCCATGTAGTCCAGCGCGTTAACCCACAGGACCACCACCGTTGCCTTGCCTTATGAGATGTTTATAGATATATCAATTTATTTCGTTTCTATGTACAGGTCGCAGGTACAGGTACAGGTCACAGGTACAGGTACATGTCAAAATACAAATCAATATTCTGTCGCACAAGTTTAACTGATTTTGTTAATAATAAATTGATGAAAAAATATTGGGCTGAGTAGAAAATAAAGCATTGTATGCACCACGGGGATTTCAAGATTATAATGCCCTTCAGGCGAAATATATCCCTCGGGCCATAGGCCCGAGGGCTAGTTTCGCCTTCGGGCATTATAATCTACATAATCCCCTTGGTACATAAATAGCTATTTTGTGGTTTAAAAATTGGTTAGTTAAAATACGTATTCTAACGATTTCTTTGAAAATTTCAAACAGTAGTCCGTAAAACCCCATAATCTAAATGTGCAAGCAAAAAATACCTATAGAGAAAAAACTAGTAGAGAAACAAAAGTAGATGTTCAAATAATTATTGGCTTCTCTTTCTTGAATAAGAAATAATTAAGTAGGTACCTAATGCTTCCTTTGTAAATAAATATTCTTTTCTAAAGACATCATCAACGATCAACTACTTGATTAATGACCAGCTTTTATTAAACAAATTAAAATTTTGCTACAACTTCATGTTGACTTATTATTCTACATGCTTTTTGCTTTTGTCTTCTGGAAACTTATTATTCTCTTCAGCAAATCAACTCGAAATTACGATGTCTGCATTCAAAATCAGATTATTCATGAATCCAATCCAAAATTAAATGATAACAACGACTATAATTATTATTATGATTATGGAATTAGTAAAAAATGGGTAAGTTCATCACCCAAAGAGAGGGGGCTCAGATGAGACTTCGAAACGAATCTTGTGGAAGTTTCAAAGCTACTTTCAATTTAGGACCGTCAGATCACGATAATAAAGAAATAATTGACGAACCAAAGAATGTTATGACGGTGAAGGTGAAGATTGTCAGTCCGGCCTTACCGGACGATTGTTTCCATTATACCCCCCTGACTAGTTTAAAGTATGACAACCAAGTAACTCCCATCCTTCCTCCAAATTCCTTCAAACTTATTTCTCCTACTCTATATACCATATATCAAATCAAAAATTCTACTATAAATCCCTGCAATAAAAATCCCACCAATAAGCCGAATTATTCAAATCTGTTTATATCGTATGAAAAAAATATATGAACTGAGGAAATGAATAAAAGCTCGCACACACCAGCTCGCCTCCATATAAGTTGTCCATACGAAGAGGACAAGGTGGGGGACATCGTCCTCAAAGGCTGAAGCTCCTGAGTGGTCCGTCGAGCCGTATTTACCAACACGCTTTCGCTGAAAAATCTTTTGTGCGACCTCCTGCAAGCAAAGTGCTGCTTTTTTTCAGCGTATTCTTAGATCGCGAATATACTTAGTTGCTTGTTCTTATCAATTGTTAATTTACTCTAATTTTTTTGATTTGAATAAAGGTAAGTTACATTTTTTTATAATTGCAATTTTTGTTTGATTTTTCAAAAAATAATTCCCAATTTTGTGAATGTTACAGAAAGCTTCTATAAAAGCTATCGATGTTTCATGGGGAATTTGATCACTATTCGAGGTATAAAGTTATTTAAATTATTTTTTTTCCTAATTTTAAACCAAAATGTGTGACAAACAATTCATTTTGAAGATACAATCTTCAAACTTCCAAATAACTTTTTGAATGTAATACTAATACTAAGGATTACCTATCTAGTACCTACCAATTTTTCATTCATAATTTTCTATTACCTACAGATGGCATTGTTTTTTTAATAAAAATATCAAAATAATATTAACTTTTTCTATATTTTCTTGTTTTTCGTTTTCGATTATTTTGCACTGATTAACTTTTAAAACGTCAATTAATTCATCTATGATTAATTAATTATTTGATAACAAACTGCAATTACGTTAATTGTTATGAAAATATTGTTGATGTTCTTGAGATTTTACAACAATATTTTGTTATGTAGACTTTTTTTATTATTTAAATTTTTTCTCAAAAGCTTTTACATTGCTGGAAATTGTTAAAAGCTCGATTAACACAGTTTTACTTTTTTTTTCCTTTATAGGAAAACAATAAAATTGCCATATCAATTTCCATAATAATTTTTGTAAAATACTGTTTTACATATTCAAATTGCTCGCATATACCTAAGTACTTATTCAGTTTCATTAGTCGCCATAAGTCAACTTATCGGCATTGTATTATTGTATTCGATGTCTGACCTCATTCATAATTAAGTGCATGGTATAATAACTAACTTTAAAAAACTACAATTGCGTGGTTTTTGAATAAAATACACAATAAAAGTGTCAATACAAAAAAACTAAAATTTCATTACAGAAAACTAATAATAGAAATTAACAATAGATAATTATACCTTTCAAGTGACCAGTATTTACGACTTTGCGTTGATAATTTCTCAAAAATGTTTATTAATTTTTTGGTCAAAATGCATAACGTTCAGGGGCGGATACGGGCCTTTTGAAAGGGGGAAGGGTAGTTTAAGTTAAAGTAAGCCAGATTGGATTATACCTATAAAGTCAAAATTTGTAAGATTATGATTACCTATTCACTTTTTGTCAATTTGCCTTTCAACAGGAATTCATAATGTTACTTTACCAAACTAGTAACATAATGTGACAAGTTATTCAAGTACAAATGAGTGAATTGTTGCGGAACTTATGGGTAGACCTCTGCGGGACGAGCGCAGCGAGTTCCGCAGCCATCTATTCATCAATATGTTGTTCAATTACGATACTAAACCGACTCACTCAAGTGCACGTTATTCTTATTAGTTTAAAAATTACACGTTTCAGGTGAATATCTTACTTGAACAGTTCAACAGAATATTGGTGATTAGATGGCTGCGGAACTCGCTGCGCTTGTCCCGCAGAGGTCCACCCACAAGTTCCGCAACAATCCACTTATTTGTACTTGAAAAATAACTTATTATATAAAGTCAGAATTTGTAAGATTATCCACTTTTTGTCAATTCGCCTTTCAACACGAATAAGTAATGTTACTTCACCAAACTAGTAATATATTGTGACAAATTATTCAAGTACCAACGAGTGGATTGTTGCGGAACTTATGGGTGGACCCAGCCATCTATCCACCAATATCTTGTTCAAGTACGATACTAACCTGACTCACTCAAATGTGAGTTATTCTCATTAGTTTAAAAAGTACACGTTTCAGATGAATGTCTTACTTGAACAGTTCAACAGTATATTGGTGAGTAGATGGCTGCGGAACTCGCTGCTCTCGTCCCGCAGATGTCCACTCATAAGTTCCGCAACAATCATCCACTTATTTGTACTTGAACAATAACTTATTATATAAAGTCAGAAAGTGTAAGATTATCCACTTTTTGTCAATTTACCTTTTAACAGGAATTAGTAATGTTACTTTACCAAACTAGTAATATATTGTGACAAGTTATTCAAGTACAAACGAGTGGATTGTTGCGGAACTTATGGGTGAACCTCTCGCTGCGCTCGTTCCGCAGCCATCTATTTATCATTATGTTGTCAATTAGGATACTAAACTGACTCACTCAAATGTGCGTTATTCTCATCAGTTTAAAAATTACACATTTCAGGTGAATGTCTTACTTGAACAGTTCAACAGTATATTGGTGAGTAGATGGCTGCGGAACTCGCTGCGCTCGTCCCGCAGATGTCCACCCATAAGTTCCGCAACAATCCACTTATTTGTACTTGAACAATAACTTATTATATAAAGTCAGAAATTGTAAGATTATCCACTTTTTGTCAATTTACCTTTTAACAGGAATTAGAAATGTTACTATACCAAACTAGTAATATATTGTGACAATTTATTCAAATACAAACGAGTGGATTGTTGCGGAACTTATGGGTGGATCCAGCCATCTATTCATCAATATGTTGTTCAAGTACAATACTAACCTGATTCACTCAGTTGTGAATTTTTCTTATTAGTTCAAAAACAACACGTTTCAGGTGAGTGTCTTATTCGAACAGTTCAACAGTATATTGGTGAGTAGATGGCTGTGGGACTCGCTGCGCTCGTCCCGCAGAGGTCCACACATGAGTTCCGCAATAATCCACTTATTTGAAAAGGGTGTTTTTTTATATATTGACACCTCACCTACAGCCTTTACCTTCACAGGTAGAAGAAAGGTGTAAATACAAAAGTTGTACAGTTTTGGCTGAATTTTTAGAAACCATGGTTAAAAACAACATTTGAATGTCAGAAATGTGAAATTTTGCATGCTTCCAACTTTTTCGAATAGGATAGGTATCCTATATTTCATTCTATATTCTTGAAGAGCACAATGCCCCGATCTATATTTGATTGAACAATCTCCCATATACTTGGCTCCAAAAATTGTAAAAATACTATCCTACTATGTACTAATTTTGTGAACCATTCTACCTGTACAGATGAAAGCTGAAGGTAAAATTTGAGGTACTTGGTTTCTCTGATAGTATTTTTAAAATCTTTAGAACCAAATGTGTTAGAGACGGCTCAACCAAATATAGACAAACTATATAGTTTTGGAATCGGGAAATTGTGTACTTCGAAAATATAGGACCAAATATTTCTATCATTCAATTTTTGTTTTTGACCATGGATTTTAAAAATTAAGCCAATACTGTACAACTTTTGTATTTACACCTTTCATCTACCTGTAAAGGTAAAGGCTGTAGGTGGGGTGTTAATATATAAAAATACACCCTGTACATAATCTTATTGATTTTGTATGAAAATTTATTTATTAGAAAAAAAAAAAACAATACATCAACTCAACCACTAATGATATACTGTTTGAGGCTAAAGTTCTTGGGACAAAGACAACGGGTGATTTTTTATAGGTTTCCAGCTTTCTAAACATTCTAAAAACTTAAAATATGGTTCTGTTTTGCCCCCCACTGTATCCGCCACTGAAAACGTTAGCAATAAAGTAAACTATGACTATGACATTTTACATGTGAGTTAAAATACCATTTTCCATGATCCAAGAATAGAAAAATACTGATTATTATATCCTGTCAGCTGCTCAATGTTAATTTCAGTCGTTTAATCAATTTTCACAATGCGATTACCCAGAATTGTTTGATATTAAACATTCCTATCCACCAAAATGCAATTGACAAAGGAGGTATATTAGTCGATTTCAAACCAAATTTAATCATGCCAATTTTCATCATAATTCAATTTCAAATCAAACTTAATCAAGCCAATTTTCATCCAAATTTCAATGGAACATGGGGCGGATAATGCTGCACATAAAGCTTTCTTTGCGAATAGGACAATGTTGACTCAAAGAAATGCTTATGTCAGATTTTTAGAAACAGAAATTGGATGTAAGTCTTACTCTGTGTAACATGGAGTCACTTGAATGATTTGAAAAACCGATCTCACACAAAAATACAAAAATTTTCCTTGTTTTTCCAAGCTGCCTCTACTTCTTGTTCTTCTTCTTCTTCCACTTTTTTTTTCTTCTCTTCTTGTTCTTCTTTAGCCTTCTGTCCTATTATTTATTTTGGGCATAGGCTTCATCAAACTCTAGACAACAGACTCTATTTAGATAGTAGACGTTTGATGCTTCCTCCTCCAACCTGGTTCTGGCTCTTTTCCAAATCTTTCTTTTTTTTTAGAGTTTTATGTGCAAAATTATCCGCCTCATGTTCCTTTGAATATTGGATACTTTGTTGCATTGGTTTTTATCTCGTATATATACCCCCTTCTGGGTTCTTATCCATCAGCTGTACCCACTGTCAATGTAGCATTTTTGTGGATGTAATGAAGCTGTTTGCGTATCTATCAACCAGTTCAAGAGTTGTTTTGTTGCTCTTTCTATAGCCCATAGCTCAATGCTGTTCTTCGAACACCTCCTCATAGCCACAGAAGCCAGATAGCTTTTTCTATGAAAAATTTTAGATGACCACCAACCGAGACTGTTAGGTGTACCCACTTCTGCCTCTGGTATAATCATTAAAAAGAATAAAATATAATCATCATTACTAATTTAAACAGGATAATCCAACAGACTCTATTCAGATGGTAGACTTTTGATGCTTCCTCCTCCAATCTCGCTCTGTTTTTTTTTTCAAGTCTTTCCTTTTTTGTTAGAGTTTTATGTGCAGCATTATCCGCCCCATGTTCCTTTGAATGTTGGATACTTTGTTGGAATGGTATTTACCTCAGTCTGAATACCGTATCGATACCCCCTTATCGGTTCTTATCCATCAGCTGTACCCACTGTCAATGTGGCATTTTTGTAGATGTAATGATAAGCTGTTCGCGTATCTGTCAACCAGTTCAAGAGTTTTTTGTTGCTCTTTCTATAGTCCATAGCTCAATGCTGTTCTTCGAACACCTCCTCATAGTCCACAGAAGCCAGATGGCTTTTTCTATGAGAAATTTTGGATGACCACCAACTAAGACTGTAAGATGTACTCGTGCCTTTGTTATAATCATTACAAGGAATGAGATAGAATCATCACTACTAATTTGCACAGGATAATCATCTTATAGTTAACACGTAACAAACATATTAGCAACTTCTCATATTAAGCCAATTATTATGCAATTTCATTATAAACAATAGTTCTTTGCTCCTTAACAGACATGCAAAACAAACCATGATATTCAATTGAATAAAGACACAATGCAGTCGCATTACTAATAAACAATGAAAGAGTTGATGAGCGGCTACTTGCAACTACTACTTGTTGAAATTATTAAAAACCATTATCCTATTTGCATTTAGACGTTGAATTATTGTATTATTTATGACCGGGAGAATCTTATCTTTGAAAGCTCAAATATTGCGGATGTTGATATTGGACTTAAAGGTTAATATCCAGATTTATTGAAAACATTTTTATTCCTATAAGTAGGTACTCCCTTTCTATACCAATGTTTATATAAGTACCTACTTGAAACAAATGACCCATATATTTAGCATTTTCTTGATTTATTTACGGTTGCAAGGCAGAGTGTTGTTGATGCTTTATAGCCTGGCAAAACATTATTGCTAATTTTAACACACGAATACTAAATGCAAAGTCATTTTATTTTTGAATCTGGAGCTTCAAGAACATTCAATGCTTGACAAATTCGATATGCACTTTGAAATACAAATCTATTAAAATGCTTTCGTAATAATTTAGCACGATATAAACGTTGTAATAATAATTACCTACTTATCAATTTTCGATTTTATTGCTTTTATAGTTGTTAATGTTAACGAACAACCATTACATCATTTCGGAGCATAACTATGTTAAGCTCATATATTTTGCTCGATGGAAGTTTTACTACTCTCAAATAATGAATCTAAATGGTTATTGTTTCAACAATATTTAAGAATTCTATCAGTTACTAATTGGTGCAATAATATGTTTATTTTTCCAGGATGACACTGGAGTGGGGCTATAACCAAGAAAATGGTAAGTTGATTATCTACGATACAAAAGAAGTTACATATTCTAAGCGCATATCTATAGCTATCTGAATAAAACATAATGCGTGTACCATTTGCAGATTCGTCTTCGAATTTATTCCGCTATAACTTATTATTCATATAGTAGGTTGTAAAGCTTATTTTTAAATAAATTATGTGCCCACTTGGAAAATTTGATTTATTTATTTTGTTTTTTCTGTTTTAATCGTGCTGAAAGCTTTTTAGTTATGTGTTATGTTTTCATTCAACATCTATCAATGACAGTGGAGCAAACGCATCATCTTCTTATCTTGCCTCGACTTGCCATTTGACGGCATGATATAGGAAAAAGTTATTAGACATAGGAAAACATACATGTACCTTCACTTCCATTTCTATGTTTTCTTCTTTGAAATCACATAATATAACATAACTGGGCACTGGTCAAATGAGAGTCATACTCTTCTCAAAGAATTATTTTCAACTGGGTCCATGACTATGATACTATTTTCAGAAAACTAATCCATCCAAATGAAACAAGATGAATCTTTTGAATCAATTTTTTCACTGGCGGGTAGCTAAAGCCGTTAAGCTTTTGAATAGAATCTTCTATATCTCTAAAATTCATGGCACACATCACAAGTTGACAAAACTTTGATCCTTCAATTGGTATTCACTGACCACTATCATCATTATCATTACATCCTGTTGTCAACTAAAAAAATTAATCTCTGAAGCAAGGAAAAGCTATGAAGAAAATCTTGTGGAAAAAAATGACACTTCTAAACAGCCAGGTTCATGATTTAATTTTACGAGATCCAATAAGCAATTATCTTATAATAGACTCAAAGACCACCGCAAACACTTTTGCAAACCAATTTCATTCTGTCTACACCAGAAAAAACCTTACAAACATGCCAACACTGCCCATAAAGACAATGAACAATAATCAACTCACTGTCATTAACATATATATTGTCAAAATCCCCGAATACCATAATATATGGTGTAGGGGTAAAATTCACTTACAATTACATTATATTACATTATACAACTAAATAAAATTTTATTCGTGTACAAATTTTGCCCATTGTTTTTTATCTCTTGCCATTCTTCTTGCCTGTGCCCATGTCTTTCCTTTTTCTTGCAGTATGCTTCCGATAACTCCATCCCATGTTTGTCTTGGTCTTCCTCTTTTCCTTCTTTTTTCTATCTTTGATTGCCATACTCTTTTGACTGGTCTAATGTCGTTCATCCTTTCTAGATGCCCCCGCCAGCTTAATTGTCGCTTTTCAATGAACTTGAGTGTTGATTCTATGTCAAGGTATTTTCTTATTTCTGTATTTCTCAGTTTATCCATCTTTGTGACACCTCTAACTCGTCTGAGATACTTTATTTCAACTGCCTGTATTTTACCTTTTTATATGATTGTCAACACCCATGATTTACATCCAAATGTTAAAATTGATCGATATATTGTTTTAAATACATTTATCTTTGTTTTCCTTGAAATTTCTTTTTTATTTATAAACGTCGAATTTATCATTTAGTAAAGATTTGTTGTTTTTTCTACTCTATTGTTAATTTCTGTTTCTTGTTTGCCATTGTCTTCTATTTCTACTCCCAGATACTTGAATGTTTTTACTTGTTCGATTTTTATTCCATCTATTTGTACATTTATATCCATTTGTTTCTCTCCTATAGCCATAACTTTAGTTTTGTGTTTATTTACTCTCATTCCGAATTCTTCACAAACCACATTCCAAATTTCTATATTTTTTTGTAAGTCTTTTTCTTTTTCTGCCATAATTATTAGGTACATCATCTGCAAAAGCTCCCTCTGATACATCTACTCTTTTCAGATGCCAGTGTCCCACGTGTATTTCGTCAATAAAGATCGTAAATAATAATGGGCTTATTCCTCCTCCTTGCCTTAATCCTTCTTGCGTTGAAAACGCTTCTGATATTTTATTTCTCTATATTACACAGTTTATGTTGTTCTCGTATATGTTTTTAATTATTCTTATTATTTTAGTATTAACTCCCCTCTCTTCCAATATTTTCCATAACTTCTCTCTTCGAACTTTATCGAAAGCCTTTTCAAGGTCTATGAATCCCATATATACTACTTTTCCTTTCCTTGCTGTGAGAACTTTTCATTTATTTGTTTTACTGTGAATATGTGATCCTGTATGCTTCGGCCTTTTCTAAACCCACTTTGTGACTCTTCGAGGGTATTCTCTATTCTATGCCTTATTTTTCTGTCTATAATTTTCTCATATATTTTCATTGCTGTACTAAGTAAATTTATCCCTCTATAGTTATTACAATCATGCCTGTCTCCCTTTTTGTATATTGGAACTATTAGAGCTGTTTTCCAATCTTCCGGTATCTGTTCTTTTTTCCAAGCTGCATTAAATATTCTTATTAGTATTTCCATTCCTGTATCCCCCAGATTCTTAAACATTTCCGCTGATAATTTATCTGTTCCAGGTGATTTTCCATTCTTCAATTCCTTTATTATTTCCTGCAATTCGTTTATGGTTATATTTTCTTGATTTTCTCACATCATTTTCTTTGTTTTCACTTTGTACTATTCCATCGGCTCCTAGTAATTTTTGGAAATATTCTCTCCATCCATTCATTATTTCGTTTTCATTTGTTAGCCTCTCTCCGTCTTTATTCTTTAACCAACCTATTTCGTGTACTTTCTCTTTGCGTAACGACTTCAAAGTTTTGTAGAATAGTTTTTGATTTGATTTGCTATCTCTTTCTATTTTTTCAACAAATTCTTCCCATTGGTTTCGTTTTGCCACTGCTACCATATCGTTTACTGTTTTTCTACTCTCTTTGTACCTTTCATAATTTTGAGTTGTTCTATTATTTATATAAATCTTCCATGTTTTTTTTTTTAAATTTTACTTGTCTCTTTATTTCTTCTGTCCACCATGCTGTTTGTTTTTTCTTATTAGTTTTCTTACTAGTGCCACATATTGCTTTTGTTGTCTCCATAACTATTTTCTTAAAATACTTCCACATGTCTTCTACATTAGTATTTTCATTTATGCATGTATCATTAGAGAATCTTTCTGTTAATGTTTTCTTGTATTTCTCTGCTATTTCTTTATTTTGTAGTTTGTATGATTCCACTGATTCATATTCTATTTTTTTTCTATCTTTTGATAATCATGTTTTGTATTCTCTACTGGCTCTCTAATTTTTGTGACAAGTAAAAAGTGGTCACTACCTATTTCCGGTCCTCTTCTAACCTTGTTATCCAATACTTCCTTTCTATTATTCTTTTCTACTAATACATAATCTATTATCGACTTCTCATTTCTGCTTTTCATCTCTCGTGTATATTTATGTAGGTATCTCTTTATGTTCGAAAAATTTATTAATTACAATAAAGTTATGTAGCACACAAAAATCAAGCAGTCTTTCTCCATTATTATTCCTAACCTTTTCGCCATGTTTTCCTATTACTGTATTATATGTGCCATCTTTTATTCCCACTCTGCTGTTAAAATCTCCAAGTTTAATTATTTTTTCTTTTGCATCTTCTGTAGCCATGGTTAAAGCTTCCCAAAATTTATCTTTATTACCCATTTATTGAATCGTCTTCATTGGGTCCAACACAACTATAATAGTTCTTATGCTTTTATTCTTATCTTTAAGTTCCAACACTAATAATCGTTCCGACCAACCTTTCCACTTCCTCATTTTCTCTTTTATGTCTTTGTGAATTATGCATTCAACACCCGCTGCTGCTCTTTCTTCTTTCTTAATTCCACTGTACACAAGTATATGGCCATTATCCATATTTATCATTCCTTATCCCTTCTTCTTTGTTTCTGTTATGGCTAGCAGTTTCAAGTCTGTAATTTCGAATTCTTCTTCTAGTTGTTTTTCTTTCCCAAACATACTTCTAATATTCCACGTACCCATTTTACATATTTCCTCAGTTTTCTTGTTATCACTAACTTCCTTATTCATAGTCCATTCCATTGCTGTGTTGTTTTGCCCATTCCTTGTATTGTTTGTTTGGCTATTCAGTTTTTTGATAGGGTTTTTCCTGTCTTTTTTAATTTATTTATTTCTTTATCCCATCTCCACTCCTCTGCATTTACCGTTACCTTATTGAATCCTATCTTTACTTCTTTACCTTTTTGCCTTTCCTGATTTGCAAATATTCTCATTTCTTTTTGTTTTTCCCTTTCCTGCTTGGTCATATCATCATTTATAAAAACTCTTTCTCCTCTCTTGTCCTTTAGTTTTGTTTAATTTTCCATGATTTTCCTCTTATCCACTTCATTTTGTAATTCTATTATCCAGGTTCTCTCTGCTATCCTGGTAGCTGATTTAGGTGTAATATTAACTTTTAATTTTTGGTTGCCTTCACATCTTCTACCAGTACTGCCGGCTCATTGTTATCAAATTTTAATTCATTCACTCATCACTACATTATTCTTTCTTCTCTCCTTATCTTTAATTTTTATTGTTTTTCTCACCTCTTGCAATTCGGTTTTTATTTCTGTATTCTCTCTTTTAATTTCTTGATTTTCCCTTTTCAATACTTCGTTCTCTCCCTTTAATTTCAAGAGTTCTCCATTAAACATCAATTGTTGATCCTTAATTTGTTTGAGTTCCTCTTGAAGCTCTTTTTGATCTGCAGACATTTCCTTCATTAACGCTAGCATTTCTTCTAACCTTTCATCTTTTTTTATTTCTAGGAGGAGTTGTTGCTTCTCCTATTATTTCCAAAAAAATCATTCATTTTTCTTCTTGTCTTATCTTCTGTAGAGTAATCATCACTGTCCATTTTCAACTGTTGATTTTCGTGGTAGCGTAAGACTAAAACCCAGATCTACTCTACAGAGGTACTTGATCTATCCACTCACTTTTTTATTTCTCTATTTGGCTTCTTTATTTTAATTTCTATTTTTTGAACCTTTTTCTTTTTGTTAAATCTGGCAACGCCGCAATTTATATTGTCGCAGTTTCACC